CCCCCCATCCCCCACCTCCCTTCTTTTTGTTTTGGTCCTTTCCACATCTGTCAGCCTGTGGCTTATAAACTTCCAAGATTTCCAACTTCTACTTGGGTTTTTGACGGGCTGACCCAGAAAAGCTAGCTCGGCCTGTGTCTAGCTCTCTGGGCATCATGTCCACGAGGGGGCAGGAGGCCCAAAGCCACACAAAGCCAGGCCCGTATCTCAGGCTTCAGAGGGAGGCGGTACAGTCGATGCTGATTTGACTGGAAGTCATTTATTTGCGTGTCAGGCTTTCTATTTAGGGAAGCACAAGGCCATCTTTAATTATCAGATCCCCTGGGACTTGAACTGTGGCAGGTGACATTGAAAAAGGAGAGGCTGTGGCACCAACTCCTGACTTTCCTAGCCCCACAGGTGGCAAGGCCAGGGGGAGTTGCGGCTACCCTCCCCCACTGCCTCCTCTCCATCACCCCTCCATCTCAGGCCTTAGCTGCAGCCGCCAGAGCCACATGTCAGCTCACCCACCCACCCTGCGGCAAGCCAAGTCAGCCCGGGGGGGCGGGGGGTATCGAGAACACTAGGTGCGACTCCTAGAAAACCCAGTGGAGTTAGGGGAAGGTATCAAGTCCTGCTGAACCGAGCAGCTGTCTCGATTCTGAGCAGTGTGGTCAGAGCGCAGGTCATGTGAGCTGGTAAAGACCCGAACAATAATGGCTACAAAACCTAGGAGTCAAATTGGGGTCAAGATCATACACGGCCCACTTCCTGCTCCCGTGCTGCCGCCTCAAATCCCAGCTGAGCCCAAAGGCCAAGCCAGAGTGGCCACTGGATTCTGGTTTCATCTACCATGGCCCCCACCCTCCCGCCAACGTTATAGACACGTGCAGGCATGCATACACACACATACATACACACACACACACACAGTCCAGGCCCTATGTGGTTTTGGGCCGTTAATCAAGGTTTTCCACCTTGGATTCTATATTCAACCATTCTCCTGGAACTTAGTGGGAACAGACCCCGGAAAACAACTTGGTCCCTCTGGGAAGGCCAATCCACAGTCAAGACCTTCAGAGAGAGGATCCGAACCAGACAAACTCAAGTGACCAGGGAAGGAACAGCTGTACCCATTACTGGGAGACTCACTCCGAGTACGCCTTAGTACCAGGCCAGCAGAGACCCCAGGGAGAGACAGCCTGTGACTTTAAGAGAGTGTTTTTAGGCACCAAGCCTCTGCTGGGAGAAGCAGGGCACGCAGAGCTCGTCAGAACCAGTCTGGGTCGCGGGGCGCCTGGGTGGCTCAGTCGGTTAAGGGTCCGACTTCAGCTCAGGTCACGATATCGCGGTCCGTGAGTTCGAGCCCCACATCGGGCTCTGGGCTGATGGCTCAGAGCCTGGAGCCTGCTTCCGATTCTGTGTCTCCCTCTCTCTCTGCCCCTCCCCCGTTCATGCTCTGTCTCTCTCTGTCTCAAAAATAAATAAACGTTAAAAAAAATAAAAATAAAATAAAAATAAAATAAAACAACAACAACGAAAGCATATATTTTGTAAGTCCCAGGGCCCTAGCATGGATGGTGAGCGGCTGGTCAAGGAGAGGTGTCCCCAGGACCTCTACGTTGCACAACTCTTGGGAGCACCGTTTATGCCATTGTCTTTGAGAATGATGCTTCTTGGGGTTGGGCAGTGCATAACTTGGGCTGTCTAAGAAGGCAGTGAGGTCACACGGGCTCCTAAGGGCCTGGGAAGGGTCATCTGATGTGTGCCCTCCCTGAGGCCACTGGAGGTTTCTAGGCGGTGGGGATGACAACTGCAGATTAGCAGGTGCTCCGGGTCACAGGCCGGGATTTCCCCCCTGGAGCCGCCATTCTGTTTTCCCAGGTTCCTTTACGGTTGCACAGGTTTGAACCACTGAGAGAGAAGCAAAGTTCGAAACTGAAACCAGCAAGAGACAAGGCTCTGGTGGCAGAGCCTTCCCCAACCAAGGCCCTTTGTTGCTGAGAACCTTAACCTGGAACGGGGCATGCGGAATTTGATGGGGGTGGGATGCAGACCCTCACTTTCTGCCTGGCTGTGGGTCTCTGTCTGGATTTAGCACTTCGCGAAGTGGGGCTCGTGTTGCCTGCTCCCCAGACCTCATGGGGCTGGCACACCCAACCTGCTGCATGCTGGGTGGTGAAGACAGTGACGAGTGCAGACTGTTTCCTGCCTTGTCTGACTTCCGGATGCTCCAGGAAGCCCATTCCTTCAGAAGGAGCTAGGTTTATCTCACCCTCTTCTTCCGAGGAAAGTGCCACTTAATGGTCTAGTCAGGGATCCAGAGCTCAGAAAGGTCCGCCGTCTTGAGAAAGTGGCAGTGGTTTGGGCTGCGTGATTCTCTCACCCCAGGCAATTGGAGAAATGCTGGAGTGAGCGCCCTTGTTCCTTGCCCAAGCCCATCAGTGTGTCCCCTTTTCTCCCTTTAGACTTCTTATGGTGATGTGGGGCAGCCACACCCTGAAGCCATGGCTGAAGCCAGCATTCTAGGAGACCCTAAGCAATGCCAGGAGTCCCAGTTTCTCTGTTAGGCCACATGTAATGCCAGACAGGGACAAAGGGACAGTTCTCCACTCGCTGTTGGGGTGAAGGAGGGCCTTAAAAGCCACAGTGGGTGAGGCAGCGTGGCTGAGCAGGCCATACCTGTACGTAAGTGGCTTTCCAGAGGACACACGGCCTAGGGTCCCTGCTGCTCACCACTTGGGGCCTTGGGCAGCAGAGGCCCCTACAGCCTCGGCCATTTTGGCCTTGAAACAGCCTTTTTGGGAAGGGGATAGCTTTTCATCAAATGGGAGAGGAGGCCCAGCATCTGAGGGGAGAGGAATTGGCTTTTCTTTAAAAACAAAAACAAAAACAAAAAACATTTTTTTTTAATGTTTATTTTTGAGAGAGAGTGTGAGTGGGGCAGGGGCAGAGAAAGACGGAGCCATGGAATCCAAAGCAGGCTCCAGGCTCCGAGCTGTCAGCACAGTGCCTGACGCGGGGCTTGAACCCACAAACTGTGAGATCATGACCTGAGCCGAAGTCGGATGCTCAACTGACTGAGCCACCCAGGCGCCCCAGAATTGGCTTTTCCGATTGATAGCTATTGAAAGAGAGCAGATCGGGGAAGGGGCTGTGACTTGGAAATGGGGAGGCATTAACTGTGGGTGAGCAGGCAGCAGGTGGCCTCCGGGGAGGAAAGGGCACAGGGCCAGTGTCTCGCCCCAGGTCTGGGTGCGTGGAGACTGCCTGGCAGCGGGGATCCAAGGCCTGGGGTGGCACACGCGGAGCCGGTGAGGCCAGCTGCCCTGGGCTGCCTCCCGCACGGTGGTGAGAAGCCATCTCCGCGGGCCCCCTCGCCCAGGGAGGCAGCAGAATCAGAAAACAGTGAGAAGCTGACTGAGGTTCTGAGAACCCGCAACCGCCCTCCCTGGGAGGACCCTGATCTTGGCTCTGGGATGTCAGGGGTGGTGGAGCGAGGGTGGAACGCTTTGGGGCTTGAAGCGGAGTTGAGAAAGGGGGAATGCGAGGCCACGAGGAGCCAGGCCAGGTAGAGGTCTTCTGGCCGGTGCGGGTGGTTCTGTAGGCGTGGGGCCAGGGGGAGGCTGGGCCCAGTGCAGCTGGCACACCAGCTCGGTGCCCATCGGGATCCGGGCAGGACGGCCGCAGCTGTTTGAGCAGCTGTGTGCTGCTGTGAGCAGGGTCCCTCGGACCGTTGGGACCCAGCTGCCTGCCTGCCCTGGGCTTTCAGGAGGGGGCCAGTCGGGCACTCCCGGACCCCACGCTTCTCTCTGTCCTGCTGACCTAGGAGGAGGGTCAGAGACCTGTGTCTTTCCCCGGATCCTGAGCACAGGCGGCTGCTGGCCCGCATGCTCTCCCAGGGCCCCCTGCCCGCTTGCCTGCCCGTGCCTATCCTGGAGCGGACCCTTTGGCGCTGGTTCTAGCCACTCGGGGCCACCAGGCCCCAAGCCTTGCCGTTGGGCCCTGGTGGATGGTCGGTTCTTGAGCATTTGGGACAGACCCTGAGATGGACACACCCAGAAGTGGACACAGCCAGAGGGTCACCTCCAGGACTGGGTCCTCTCTGGGGAGAGAGTTCTCAACTACCCCGAGGGAGTCCAAGACTGTTCCTGTTGAACAGTTCCTTCCTTCCGGAGCCTTCCAGCTCCAGGAGAGGAGGTGGGAAGCCCAGCACTGCCTGTCTTCCTTTGTTGAGTCCTCACGCACATCCCGGTGGGGGTGGCAGATGGGGCTTGGGGGACGTGTGCGAGGCAGGAGAGGGCTGTCCGTGCTGACCCCGTTTCAGCCAGCCCTGCTTCCTCCCTTCATAGCCTTGACCCCAGCTGCCCGCCCTGAAGACCTCTCTCGAGTGCCCCCTCCGAGCTGCCGTGGCCGTCCTGACAGCCCAGACCCCCTGCTGCCTTGAATGGAGGCCGCTGCTGCCGGGCAGATCTATCCCTGCTGGGCTGTCCGCCCGAGGTTTGGTCTGCGGCGTGCCCCGTGCGCACGGCAGGTGCTTGAGCACCGTGTGTGGCTCCGAATTGAGTGGGAAGGTGGCAAAAACGCCAGAGCGTGGCACAGACGTGGGGGCAGCTCTGTGCAGAGGTTAGAGTCAGGACCCAATAGCTGTCGATCCCAGGCTCGGAGGAGGGCAGGGGTGGCCCCGGGAGGCCCAGGGTGATGGCTGTGTGCACCCCAGTTCTGAGTTGCACCTGCCCATTGGGTTGCTCGGCCCGGCCCGTGACTGCCCTGGGGTGCTGAGGGACTTAGTTGTTGCTTTATTTCGTGGCTCGCCCTGTTTCCTGTGGCTTCGGCCTTCCTAGTGGAGCCCCTGTTCCCATGCTGCCCTGCCCTCTCTTTTCCCGCCATTGCAGACCTCTCGTGCCTGATGCTGGGCTTCCGATGGGGGTGCTCCTTGGTTACCCTGCAGCCAAGGCAACATGCATGGTGTCTTTCTCCCTGGAGTTGGGAGGAGGAGTTCGGGGGGTTGGGGGTCTCCTCCAGGAGCTGGGGGTTGTTTTTCTGTGGGAGTGCAGATCGGGATGGGATACGGCAGACATGGCCTGGTAGGGGTGAAGCGGGGGACCGTGACACGTCTCTTCCGCAGTCTTCACTGGCTCCAAGTCCTCGGAGCTTTCTGAGTGTTTAATTTCAGACAGACTAGGCTTCTTTTTGCAGACTAGGGGCTGAGGTAGACGAGGGCCTGTGTGCAGCTGGTGTGGATCCTGCTTCTGGTGGGGACCCTTCTTGTTCTGTAGCCACAAATCACAGCTTTTGTGAATCGGTCTATTTAAAATGCTTTCGCCCGCTCCTTGAAGGGAACCCTGTATCGCCTCCTGTTGTAATGGGACAGTTCTCCACCAGTACGAGTCTTCATCTGCCTGATAAACTTGGGGTTTGTGCTTTCATGAGGGTTACACCGGTAAGTCCTTAGCACTTACCATTTAAGACGAGGCTGAAGAATTACTGCGGTTTCCCTAAGTGGCCAAGTTTTTGTGCACTTCGTTTCAAAATTGTGAAATCTTTGGTGTTTGAAGCCAAGGGAAAGGGGTTTCTTAGCCCCTTGGGCTTGGTTGAGAAGTCATTTTAGGGAGCATGTCCCTTCCTGCCCGCTTAGCTCAGTTCCTCATACTTCCCTGCTTTGACGTGGTTTTAATTCTTTTGTTTAAAAGTGTCTCAAGCATTGAAGCCTTTTGCTAAGGTATGTATATTTTTAAAAAAGAAAAACATAACTGGTAAATATAAAGCGTTCAAAATTTTAACTCTCTCATTGAGGACACTAATGAGGTGTTACAGTTATTTCAAAGGAGAATTACACACACACACACACACACACACACACACATCAGGAATGCTGAAATGAATTTACAAACATACAAAATTGGTCAATATTTACGGGCAATCAATAATCAGATCCATCTCTACCGGGACATAATTCATCTTCATTTCTAGGGAGAAGAATCATTTGTATTACTATTCATTTCTACAACGTGTACAGGGTTGTAAAATACCTCCTAGACCATAAAACCCAGGATAACCTGGAAGGGTACACTAGACAGGACACCCACTAGTTTTTTTATGCTCATTTGAGTCTTTCATAATTTTTTCTGACACTTTAAACATTTTTTTTTTTTTAAAGTTTATTAATTTGAGAGAGACAGAGTGAGTGAGCACGAGCAGGGTAAGGGCAGAGAGAGAGGGACGGGGAGGACAGAGAGAATTCCAAGTAGGCTCCACACTGTCAGCACAAAGCTGGATGCAGGGCTCGAACTCATGGACTGTGAGGTCATGACCTGAGCCAAAATCAAGAATCGGACACTTAGTTGAGCCACGCAGGCGCCCCTAAAATCCTTCTTATGAGTAAGTGCATAAACAAACGCTCTCAGGGCTGCCTGGCTATTGACTGGAGGGGATAGTAGGGCGTCAGCAGCCTCAAGTTAAAGGCATGCTGGTGCCTCCCTAAAGTTGTCCTGCTGGGGTCCAAGGGAGTGGACCCATGACCTGATGGCCCTCTGGGCTCCACTCTGATGCTCTTCAAGTAAAAATAAGTATGGGCCTGTAGCCTGACCTCGCCCCTGCCTCCAGTTGACTTTAATTATTTTTAATTTTTTAAGTTAAAAATTTTTTAAGGATTTATTTTTGAGAGAGAGTGAGCACGAGCGAGCATGAGTGGGAGAGGGGCAGAAAGAGGAGACACAGAATCCGAAGCAGGCTCCAGGCTCTGAGCTGTCAGCACAGAGCCCGATGTGGGGCTCAAACCCGCGAACCATGAGATCATGACCTGAGCCACCCAGCCAACCGGTTGACTTTATAACACGTGTGTGAGCTCTAACAGGAAGATGGGATAGAACTGGTGAGCTGAACCTGTGGCCTCAGCTGCCTTTCGTTTCCTTCATCTTCTCTCCTCAAGGCAGGCCTCCTTCTGATGCTTTTCTTTCGGTAAGAACTAACATTTCCATGCGTTGGGGAATGTGCTTTCAGCCTCCTTGTTTTTGGCCATCGACGGCTCCTGATTGTTGGTTTTAAAACTCATTTTTATCAACAGGCTCAACACAATGTTTCCTCCAGAATTTCCTGCCAGGATGCTGACTGGTCTCCTCCTGGTCACGAATGTCTGTGAACCTCAAACTCTTGATATGAATGACTTGGTACTAATTTGTTTAAATGTAACGTTTGACTCCTCTGGATCCTGGGTTCTGGTGTGTCCATTGGCTAATGCTGGATTATTTGGGAAAGGGCCAACAAGCTGAGATTGCGATTGCCTTGCTATTCTGATGCGGTCATGCCTGGTTGTGCTAGGCGTGACCGTCCCTTGACATCTCTGCCAGTGCCGTTGGCCCATTTGCAAGCTCGTCAGCCCCTGTCCCAAGGCAGGAACCCAGGAGTCCATGGTGGCTACTTAGTGCCAGGAGGGAGGAGCAGGAGAAAGTGGACATCGGTTGACTCACAGAATGTTTCAGTTTTCTCTGATTTTTCTTTCTCCTTGTTTACTTTCTCAGTCATTGCCACAGCCAGTTTTGGCTGTTTAATCTCACCTGATAAGACTTTGCCGGAACAGATCGATGAGAAAAGTGATCCTCTCCTGTATGGAATTTAGTTTAATCTTAGTCCACTAAATCCCTCGAGGAATATTTTTAAAAAATGATATAAGTAATACTCCAACGGGGGACAGTCTGGTCAGCTGACATCTGCTGTTGTTTGAAGGTCATGGAGGCGGAGCAGACCAAGACACGGAGCGAGCTGGTGCACAAGGAGACCGCGGCCAGGTACAACGCGGCCATGGGCCGCATGCGGCAGCTGGAGAAGAAACTCAAGAGAGCCATCAACAAGTCCAAGTGAGTCTGGCCACATGGGTCCCCAGCGCTGTGTGTGATTGTCCTCCTCGTGCAGCTTCTTCTCCTTTCGTGTTCTCAGGGACCTGCCTCATCAGAGCTTCCCGTCCAGGGCTGTGTCTGCCCCCCAAATTCTGTATAACCCCCAGAGGCAGGAAGTGCTGCTCCAGGCACGACCGACCCAGGAGACAAAGAAAAAGCAATTTCAGAAGCAAACTATTGCGTGGTTCATTGGCTGGGGCTTGGGGCTGGCCTTTGGGAAACTCTGATTGTGCCCTTGGCTCTGGGGCAGCCAGTGTGGACAAGCCCTGTCCTTCATTTTACCTGTCAGCATACTGGGGAGGAGCTGTGTGGACCAAGAGCTGATGAGATGACCCAAGACTCGTTTTGATGGGGGTTTTTGCAAACTTTTTTCACTATTCCTCCTATGTATTTTTATTTTTAATTTTCATTATTATTTTTAACTTTTATTTTTTTAATTTATATCGAAGTTAGCATAGAGTGCAACAATGATTTCAGGAGAAGATTCCTTAATGTCCTTTACCCATTTAGCCCATCCCCCGCACCCATTCCCTCCAATAAACCTCTGTTCTCCATATTTAAGAGTCTCTTATGTTTTTGTCCCCCTCCCTGTTTTTATATTATTTTTGCTTTCCTTCCCTTATGTTCATCTGTTTTGTCTCTTAAAGTCCTCATATGAGTGAAGTCATATGATATTTGTCTTTCTCTGACTTATTTCACTTAGCATAATACCCCCTAGTTCCATCCACGTAGTTGCAAATGGCAAGATTTCATCCTTTTTGATTGCCGAGTAATACTCCATTGTATATATATACCACATCTTCTTTATCCATTCATCCATCAATGGACATCTGGGCTCTTTCCATACTTTGGCTATTGTCGATGGGCTGCTATAAACATGGGGGTGCATGTGCCCCTTTGAAACAGCATTCCTGTATCCCGTGGATAAATGCCTAGTAGTGCAATTGCTGGGTCGTAGGGTAGTTCTATTTTTAGTTTTTTGAGGAACCTCCGTACTGTTTTCCCGAGTAGCTGCACCAGCTTGCATTCCCAGCAACAATGCAAAAGAGATCCTCTTTCTCCGCATCCTCGCCAACATCTGTTGTTGCCTGAGTGGTTAAGGTTAGCCATTCTGACAGGTGTGAGGTGGTATCTCATTGTTGTTTTGATTTATATTTCCCTGATGATGAGTGATGTGGAGCATTTTCTCATGTGTCGGTTGGCCATCTGGATGTCTTCTTTGGAGAAGTGTCTATTCATGTCTTTAGCCCATTTCTTCACTGGATTTTTTTTTGAAGGGTGGGGAAGTTGTTGAGTTTGATGCGTTCTTTATAGATTTCGGATACTAACCCTTTATCTGATATGTCGTTTGCAAATATCTTCTCCCATTCCGTCAGTTGCCTTTTAGTTTTGCCTTTTATATATTTTTAAATAGTAATCATCTTGGGGACATGCTCCCTGCTTCATTCACAGTTGCTGGGTCTCCAAGCAAAAGAGCTTCGTAGCGGGTGAACAGCTGGAGAAAAAAGCGCTGGTCTAGTCTTAATGCTCAGACACCCAAGTTCCTAAAAAGAGCCAGGGTCTTTTGACCCAGAGCCGGAGGACTAGTAGAATGTTGGCATTTGTGCTCTCTCTTGCCCATGACCTGGCCAGGTCTGCGGACCGTCTGATACCTCCGGTCCTGGACAGAATTCAAGAGGACCAGTCTGAGACCCCCTCATTTCGGTGAGGGAGGGATGGCACTTTTCCCTTCCCCCAGTGACCTCAGCAGAGAAGGGAATGTGTTGAGGCAGTCCCCTCCCCGGCCCCATCTAGCCTTCATTCTCGGGGGTGCCGACGTCCTCCTTGGGAGAGGAGATCCGGGCTGCCTCAGCCGCCGGGCACACCCTGTGTGGCCCTGAACAGCCTCCTAGAGAGGAAAGCGAGCCAGGATAAGCGTTCCCATGTGCGGGTTCTGCAGATCTTGAGGCGGGCCTTCTGTCAGCTCAGCCCCGGGTGAGTCCAGCAGCATTGACTGGCTCATGTATCTCCCTGGCTCCAGAGCTGGGTGCGTTCTCTTCATCTCATGGCCTTGTCAGGGTTTGCTAAATCCCGGGCGGGTGGCCTGCCAGCCATAGCTAATGCCTCTTATCCGCCCTGTGCTGTCTACTGTGGCCATCGTATTCTGTTACTCTTACGGTTTTCCTTTGTGTCTTCCACAGGCCTTATTTTGAACTCAAGGCAAAGTACTACGTGCAGCTTGAGGTAGGTGTGGCCTTCTCTGGCTTGGTCGTTGATGGGATTTTTCTGCCCTCGAAGTCCCACTTTTGTGGTAGCAGAGCTTTCAAATGGCGCATTTGCCACAAGAGGAGGGTGGGGAGAGACACGTCCTTGACTGAGCGTTCAGTCCTCGAAATGGTCTTCGTCGGGTCTTCAGGGAGTGGCCTCTGAGGTCCTGTAAATCTGCCATTCAGCCGCTTGCTGTATCGTGCTGGAGTGGTGGCTCTCAGTGGCTCCGGGGGCCAGGGGCCTCAGCATGCCCGTGGAGGTGCGGATTCCTGAGCCCCACCCCAGGTCTACCGAATTCGAAACTGCAGGTGGAGCCTGGCCGGCCGAGTTTTAAAAGGCCTCCAGGGGAGTCAGATGCAAACTCCAGGGTGAAAAACCACAGTACAAGGGCTGGAATGTGTGTTTGCCACCCGCTGATGTTTCTCCGATGGGGTTTATTCTGCCAGCGGTAGTTTCTGGTTATTGGCTTGAGTTTATCACCCGGATGGGAGCTGGGGCTGGCGTGTGGAGACCGGATAAGAGAAAATCAGCTCAGCAGTCCTGTCTCAGGGAAGTCGGGGGAGTGGAGTGAGTGCTGGGCAGAGAGTGTGCTTGAACCTTGACCTCGATCCCGAGGCCGGTAGGGGTGCCTCCACTTACCGAGCCTTCTGTTGTCCTGACCAGCAACTGAAGAAGACCGTGGACGACCTGCAGGCCAAACTGGCTCTGGCGAAAGGCGAGTACAAGACGGCCCTGAAGAACCTGGAGATGATCTCGGACGAGATCCACGAGCGGCGGCGCTCCAGCGCCATGGGGCCTCGGGGCTGCGGTGTGGGGGCCGAGGGCAGCAGCACGTCTGTGGAGGACCTGTCGGGGAGCAAGCCTGAGCCAGACGCCGTTTCGGGTGAGCTGGGGCTCGTGTGCGCCTGGGAGATGACGCAGCTTGTGTGGTCTCCTTCCAGGCCCGTCTCGCCGATCGTGGAAGGGCCTGAGAGTTGGGCACGCCTCAGGGCTCTTTCTGGTGGCTTCCCACATCTTGTGGAACACTGTGTTCATCAGGGTGCTACTGAGTGTTCCTCGGAGTCAGGATTCTGTGGTGCCTAAGTTCAGAAAATGTTACACTTTGACCCCTGACGTTCGGAGTACCTATCAGAACATTCAGGGCTCTGAGAAGTACTGCAGGAAAGAGGAGTTGCCTATGAATAGGGACCGTGCAATCAGATTTGATTCAAATCCTGGCTTCCCCGTAGTACATGATGTGGGCAAGGGCTTAGCTATGTCTGTTTCTTTACCTGTAAAATGGGGACTATGAGTGTCTGCTACCCACTGTGTAGACAGGAGGCTGGCACCCAGTAAGTCTGAGAACGGTGGTTCTCACTGGTGTCTAACTGTGGAGACCTTTTTTCCCCAGGGCCACTCCTTGGGAAACTGATACAGAGGTTTGCTGTGCCCCTCCCCCCATTTTTTTTCATCATGATAAATGTACTCTTTAAT